TTTATAGAAGCTTACGTGGCCCAATGAAAGGGGAAGTGTTGGCCGGAGAGTGCAAAAAGCGAGTGCCCGTAGCACTGCTCTTTCCCATATATATATATATCTGAAAAGTAACGGAGCTGTCACTGCCTCACTAGCCCAAAATCTCGTTGGACGCCAACAGCCAACGGGCAACAGCCACTTCCTGGGACTGCGCCTGCGGGAGTTGCGTCCGCCGAAGCTTCCGCTAATTTCAAGAGTAACAAAATGTAAAAAACCACCCTCTATTTCTCTCTCTCTCTCTCTGCGAAACATTGTGCAACTCAGGAAGAAAAGAAAACACAGAAAAACCCCATTCTTGGTGTTGCATTTCAAGAACATTGCGCTCTCAAAGGTTGGGTCTTTCCCTTTTATAAAATTCACTTTCCATTTTAAAGATTTTCTGGGGAAAACCTCAAAACCAAATCCAGAAAGAAAATTCAGGTATATATGGGTCTTCTTCGTTTCATTTTATATTTTCTTGTTTGGGGGTTTGCTTTTCTCTCGTTTTCTTTAGCTTTTAAATTCTTGCAATCAATCTTTACTTGGTTAATTTGAGCAGTGATTGCAATGTTGTGCTTCTATTATCATAATATCTTTGTGGGTTTATGTTTACTTGCTTTGGAGAATTGCATGTGTGTGACGACTACTTCTGCTGGTAGATATTTTTATTTCCTTGATAGCAGTTGTCTGGTTTTGGTTATTGGTATGTTGTGAATTTGGTGAGCTCAATCCGGGTTGGCTTAGACCTCAGATGTAAGGTGGGATGTGAACCATGTTGTTGAAAATGCAAGTTTGTTCAAATCCCTACCATTTGGGTGCAAACAATTTAAATGAAATTTGGAGATGAAAAGCAACGAAATGAGATTTTTGATCCTATGGCACAATCTTCGTTATTGATGCAATTGTTGTTCTTGTGATTATTGTGGAGCTCCATTGTTGGGGTTTGTTGTGAAGGACATGGTTGGAAAGGAAAGGAAAGGAAATTGACTTGGGGTCTTGTGCATTGGCTTTTTTAGTTTTGAAATAAGCAAAGAATAATTACGTAAGGTTGTTGTACTAGATTTTTTTGAGGGAAAAACTTCTAGATCTGTATCAATATTTCATTAGTTTTAAATCAAGTTTCATTTCTTGCCTTACCTACATATTCTCAGTGATGGATAGATAGGCAGGGTTGGCACGCATTTATCATTAGTTCATGCTGGAGCACTGACTGGAGATTTTTTTAAAATTGAATTATTTAAAATGGCTGCTTATAACTTTCATGGCTTACTGTTTCTATGTGTTGAACTTGAATGGTTATATTCCAATTTGGTCAGCATAATTGATATGTTAAATTGTAACTTGTCCAGATATTTCACTATATAAGACTTGACAAGACTTGAAGGAGACATGTCCCGCAAATTCATACCACTAGATGAAGGAATGATGATAATGGAAGAGGCAATCATGAAGGCAAAGAAGATTATAGAAGGCTACCCAGAAACCACATTCACTGGAGAAGAGTACATGAGGTTCTATGAGTATCCTTTGTCCCGTAAGAAGGGCTTTACTTCAATTGATATTAGACAGTGTCTTTAGCCGCATCTTGCACAACCTTGATATATGTTATCCTTACAAACCATGACAGTTGTGTTTATTCTATGTCCAATCACCATGGCTCTGAGACTATGATGCAGCTTTATGAGAAATTTAGAAACAGTTTGGAAGAAAGTATTCTTTCATCGGTGAGAAATTTTCGTAGTTCAGTCTAAAAGGAAAATGCAAATTCCTTTGAGAATTTTGGATCCTGATTGTTATATTTACTTCATTGTTTGCATGTTTTGCAATTTTGTACCACATTTATTTTTGCCACTTTTTTTCATCTTCCAGGGAAGTTCTTGATTTTCCCTAAAGATGATGTAGAAAAGACAGATATGAAAAAGTGTTTATAAATGGACTTTTACCCTTTTTTCACTCTCAGGTACTGCCATCATTAATCAACAAACATGGTGCCACTTTATTGAAAGAACTTGTGGTAATGTGGTCTAACTACAAGAAAATGGGAAAATGGTTATGCAGGTTCTTTCATTACCTTGACCGCTTCTTTATCCCACAACATGTAGGGCTCCAGACTCTTGAGAATACCTTAGTTAGTTGCTTCCGTGATCTGGTTAGTCACAATGTTTTGAGTGTAGATTTTTATTGATTTTCATTTTCTTCTATGGAGCTATTCTGGTATTATAACTGAATATTTTTTCCTTGAATTTTAATTTCAGGTTCTTATGAATTTATATTTCAGATTCCTTGATGCAGCATTAACTTTGGTTTGTTTCTTTTGCTTGTTTAGTCTATAAAGGTAGTTTCCTTTTCAATTGAACTTTGCTCTGTTCAATTTCTCAAGCAGATCGAGCAGCAACGTGGGGGATTGATGATTGATTGGGCCTTGCTGAAGAACCTTTTAGATTTCCTTTTGGAAATTAGAAATTATGGAGGGGATAATTCTTATGAAGATTTTGAGCATGCCATACTCACACAAGCCTCTACCTACTATTCTCGCTTAGCTTCAGAGTGGCTTCTGTATGATTCTTCAGCAGACTATATTCATAAAGTATCTCACCATTACATTGAGATTGTTATATTCATTTTAGACATTCTAGTGTAGCTGATTGATGACGTTTCTATGATCTCTTGAATTTAATTTCCAGGCTTTCTGGTGCTTGAATCAGGAGAAAAGAAGAGCCAGCCAATACCTAAATCCAGATTTGGAAGCTAAGTTACTGCAGGTATACAGTCTGTGAAAGTTTGCTCAATTGATTCTCCATTTAAAGAGTTTAAGTGGTTAAGTTCTAATCGTTATGATCCCTTCTGCAGGTTGTCAAATATCAATTGTTGGATCAAACTGCAAAAATCCTAATGGAAAAAAAGGAAGCAGAGAATTGCGGTCTTGTGACAGATTATCAGGTATTAATACATCTCCTAAGTATATTGTTGCTATTGCTCCGCATGAAACCTTGTCTGTCAACCAATTCACAAGCAAGTACATATCTGCTAGGCTACAGTTATGGAGATCCAGTCTCTAAACCTGGTGGAGCTCATTGTTTGGCTATTTGTGAATACAGTTTTTGGTATCTTTTGTGTGCTCTGATGATTTCTTGCAAAATTTATTTTGGTTTAAACTAGTTAGTACATATTTCTACAGTTACTACGATGTTGGCTTCAAAATCTGCTATTTTCTTGATAACATCCAGTTATGCCTATTCTTATGTTATCCATAAGATAATGGGGCTAAATTAGATGCAAGAGAACGAATGATCTTTGTGTCAGGTTGAATTGATGGATGGACCAGATTCAATTTAGTGGAGACAAAAATGCATTGCTTTAGTAACTGAAGTCACATTCAGAAGACCTTACCCTGCCAAATTTTAGGCTCTGTTTTTTCTGCCGTAACATATTTTCAAGAGTTATCTTCAATTACTCAAGCTGGTATTTTTTTTCATTTTTAGCCCATTAGGCATGCAAAATAGTTTGGCCATTTGGGTTGGTTTTGCTACCCTGTTTATTTCTGGGATACTTCATACATATTTACTTATGGATTGCTTTGTAGGCAGTATTGTCCATGTGTGCTGGGATGACCCTTCAAGAGAGTTCTTCACTGTCAACAGAAGAATGGCTGTCTAAAGTAATGGAAACTGCATCCCATACATGCTGAGCTTCTCGAGTGTGTTATAAACAGAATTCTTTTATTTTCAAGAAACTACAGATTTCGTCCCTTTTTTATCCTTTTAGGAATTTTAGAAACTACAGTTAAACATCAGAGAATTAGTTCTTAAACCTTTTAATGGAGCTGACTTGGTAGAGAAATCTGTTAATGTAGCTCTTTCGTCAAATGAGAAGGTTCTTATTTCATTTTTCCCTGGATTGAGTTCCCCATTTTTTCCTGGTATCCAATATATGCATTCAGATTTACATAGCTGCAAATTCTAAATACATACAGATCAAGTATTCAGCATAGGTACTTCAAACTTTTGTTGCAAGTAAGGTCCCTACTGTTGTGTATACACCGATTTAAAGTGTCTGACAAGGATTGTGTTGTCCCCAACTTGTAAATGCTGATTGTGTTGTTGATACTAAGGCTTCATTTGGAACTCCTACACGTATCACTTTTTCTCATCACACATTATTTAAAAATATACATTTATAGTCATTTTATTTATTATTTTATATATATTTTGGAGAAGAAAAGACCCAAAAAAAAAAAACTACAATAAGTGCGTTGCACAACATGGTATAATTCAATACATTCGAACAAAGCCTAAAATCTGTTTGCCAATTTGACCAATTATAAGGCTAAACTGTTGCCAGTTTGGCCAGTTTGGACTGGTAAACTTGGTCCCCAAATACTAGTGAACTCTTTAGATGAGCATTGAAAAGCTAAATCGAACATGGTGAAGACAATGCATTATTTAGATTCTTCAATGAAACTAAACCCTAGGATCTTACTAAAAGGAAATTTAGATACTAGCAGGCTTTCACTCACATGATTATGGTAATGACAAGGAAAAAGTAGCAGACTATAAGAGAGTAAGATGATTACCTAGAAATAGTCTAGGTTTTCATCAATGTCCTCTACCCACCAGACCAAATTACTTGAAAAAGCTCTAGAGACAAGAGGGGGGTCCAATACCTTCATTACATTGCCCGTCATTGTGGAAGGAGCTATTGCCTATTTTCATTGCATAATCAAGGATCTTTTGGAGCACCAAATTAGGGCAATTGAAAGTGCTTGTCTTTCAAGCATTTTGTTTTCATTACCAACAATAAAACAAAGCATTTTGCTTTCATCTTTTTGATACATTTGAGAGGTGAGATTTTGTACTGAGAATTCATCTTCTTGTAACCCTCTCCTTACTGTTGTCCTGAGATTTGATTTTACATTTTTAATATAACCATTAACTCAATTAATTAAAAGGGTTGCAAATTTTGAAATTTAATTACAGAATAAAAAATATAATAATATATATGAAAAGCTAGGAGTGTTTGATTTGTCTGTTAGGAATGATTGACGGTTGTATCTATTAGTTTGTGATGGTTAATATTTAGGTTGAAATCAACCTATAAAAGTATCATTTTCAAACACCATAGCTAACTATTTAGGGATGGAAAACTATAAGATGAAAGGCTTTGTTTTGTTTTGGAGAGCTGGCTATAGTTACAGTTGTGGGTTTTTTAGTCTTTTAATTAATAACATTTTAAAAATATATATTTTATATATTTAATATTTATTTTAAATAATATTTTATATATTTTTAGAATAACAAAAAGATATAAAATCTAAAAAGGTTAAATTTCAAGAAGCGTTACCAAACAAAACTTAAATTTGAATATCTCAAATTAGAAATTAAGTCTATTAAAGTTGAACAAATGGTGCACCATGTTCAACCACAGTTATTAAAGTTTTGTTTGCATCAATGATTTGTTGGTCTGAATAGAAAAAATTTGATTTCTTTTAAATAAAATCTTGAATTTGAGTCTTATAAATGAAAAAATAGATATTAAGAAATCTTCCCCTTACAAGGTCTATCATGACTCAATTTTGAATTAATTGGGGTCCAATGCAATTATTAAATATCAGGAGTTAGTACAAAAAATAATTAAGATTTTATTTGTCAGTACTTTGTTGTATTATGTTGTACTATAATGAAATATACATTTTTCAGTCTTTTATTGTGCAAAAAATGTATAAAATAGTAAATAAAATTAATAAAATATATAAAAATTAATTAAAAATTATAACTTTATATTTTAAATAAAATAACGTGTCAAAAAAGTCTATAAAAAAAATCAACAAGCTCATTTAGGTATAACTTGAGTTCTAATTAAATTCCGTCGTCATATGATTATAATTAAATGGTTTCAGACTTCTAATATAAGCACGTCCTATTTTTTTTTTTTTTGTTAATTTAACCAAGTAAAGGATGTAGTTATGACCATACACCACTTTATTTAGGCTACACAATTTTATTTTATTTTTAGTTTATAATTTTTTAAAATAATTATTTATAATATTTGAAAACATTTATTTACAAACTAATTTTAATTTATTAAATAATAAATCTTAATTATATATAAAGCTACTAAAACAATAAAACTTCTTCTAAAATTTTGGAAATAAATACCCATTAGACTTAAAAAAATCATTAATAAATACTCAATGGGTTTTAAAAAATCCTTAATAAATATCCAATGAGTTTTTTTTTTAAATAATAAATAAAGTGTAATTTAAATCAAACATATGTTGAATATTGTAATCCAATCTTAATAGGATTTAATTTCTTATTAATTTAGTCACATTTTCTTATTATAGAATTTGATTTGATCTTTCTTTAATATCTTTTCAATTCTATAGTATCAGAAAAGTGGATATAAGCTTATATTGCAAACAATTAAGTGAAAAAAATATTCTAAAATTATATCATTTTAATAAAATTTTATTGAAAAAAGTAAAAATATCATAATTATTTTAAAGATAAAGATGATAATATTTTAGTTTTTTTTAATAGTATTTTATTAAAATTACGTAATTTAAAATTTTTTTTAAAATTTTTTGCAAGTTCAACTAATAAACATTAATTTTAGGTTACAATTTATTTCCTATTCCATAAATAGATAAACAAAAGAAAAGAGAGAGAGAGAGGGGAGGGAGGGGATGTGCCGACACCCTCACCACTAATTTAAAATATGTCTAACAGTCCAAGTCTCTTTTCTTAATGGTAAAACTACATTACTGATCCTCAACTTTCTAGAGTTTTGCATTTTTTTCTTAAAATTTATAATTCTGCAATTTGGTCCTCAATATCACCATTTTTTTTTTTTTTTATGTTGCTCAATATCACCAATTTATTCATCCTAACTTTATGAAACATTGTGATTTAGTTCCAAATTCATAATTTTTAAAAGTTAAATCCTATCCTACACATATAATGAAAATAATATAAAATTGAGTAAAATCATATTAAATTCATTCAAATATTAATAAAATTAAAGCTAATTTGCATCATATTATATGTAAGGATTCACCCTATCAAGTACTATAACGAAAATTGGTAAATTTTTTATTGAAGTTTTGTTAAGATTTTTTGTTAAGTTGTTAACATTAGATTTCTTCTATTAGAAAGAGAAAAATAAAACAGAAAAAGAGAACCAAAACTTCTATTACAAGGGGTACTTTGACCCTTGAGGCATAAGAGTAAGTGAAAAAAAACTAGAGATATAATGTTAAAAAGTTATGCTGCTTATGTTTTGATCTAAAACATTTTTAATATAAACAATGAGAGATAGGAGGAAATTAAGATAAAAAGAGAATATAATATAGAAAGATATAAAAAGAAAAAGTGACTAAAAAGGAAAGATATAGAAAGAAAGATAAGGGACGCTCCACCTTTTATTCTTCAACATAAAACATTTCTAATATTAAAAGAGAGAGAGAAAAAATTGGGATAAAAAAAGAAATATATAATAATGTATTGAGATGTGAGGAATGATTAGAATAGAAAAATAGAAAGAGGAGGATAAAAGGAAAATGTACAATTAAAAATCAACTTATAATTTATAAAGGCAAGAAAAGACAAAAGTATGGTTGAGATAAATCAACTGATAAAATGCTATGCGAGAAGGTGAGAAATGGAGTTGGAAGAAAAATTAAAATGATGGAAGGAAAGTAAATATAAGCAAAAAAAAAAAAAAAAGACAATAATGTTTAAAAGTTGTATCACATACGTTTTGACTTAAAATATTTTAATATAGATAATGAGAGGGGAATAGATAAAAAGAGAAATATATAGTGATGGATGGAGATATAAGGAGCGACTGAAAAAAATAGGTTTAAGTACCATTTTGGTCCCTCAACTTTACACTTTGGTACCAAAATTGTCCCTTACCTTTAAAAAGTACCAAAATTATCCTCAAACTTTCATTTTCGGTACCAAAATGATCCTTCCGTCAGTTAAATGACAGATGACACGTTAACTTGCCAACAAATCACTGGATTTTTTTAATTTTAATGACGTGTAAATTCCAT